GTTTTACCTTTTTCCAAATTTCGCAGATTTTTTAATAAGGTTTTAATATAATTTAACCAAGTTTTACTTTTACCATTAAGACGTCTGTCTAAACTCTTGATTTCATCCAGCAACCTTAGATACAATACTTGGCTATTTCACGTATTTGTTCAGCCGTTATAGTGTTTGTCTCCTTTAATACCTCTTTATAATACTTGAACATGCAGTTAAGAGCATGTCTAATTTGCTTTTGAGCTCACATTCATTTAAGTAGAATGCTAAATTACTTTTTTCGGCCTTAGCATATAATTTCATAAAGTAAAGGCAAATATCAATAGCTACGCATCCAGGGATTTTAAGATGCTTTGAATGGAAATTCCTATCATTAACCTTTATTGCATTATATTAATATTGCTATTTTGTAATTTTTCGAGGCTTGAAAGTTTTAATGACATTTGATTGAATATCCATTCAAAAACTCCCAACTTCTTGGCTTTCTCTACAATAAATCGCCAATCATATTGAGAATCATTAAAGCCTACTTGTATATCTGGAGATAAAAGTTTCTAATACAAGGCAAAAGCTTTTAGCAAATTGGTCTGAGATCCGCATATAATTGTAGTCTAGTGAGAATCTGACACAGTTTCAACATCGATAAGACAGATCTGTTTTAATAGATTAGGATTATTTTTCCAATGAACTATCATACCAATCGTAAATACGTTAAATTCATCACTCTATATAGTAGGAAATTTACCTAGTCCAAGTGAACTATATGTCTCTATGTCCCATGTGAGAACAAGAATTCGATCCCTTAAAAGCGCTGAAGAAATTAACGGATTTTTATACTCGTCATCGCTTATTAGGTTGTAATTACCCACAGATACCTGGAAGAGATAAGCATTATCTGACAGTATATATGAATAGTTACTTAATACTGCCTAGCTTGAAAGTAGTAATCTTCCTTCACAGGCCACTTTGCGATAATAATATTTGGGAGTAAAGTGGAAAAGCGTGAATATCCTCAAACCTAAACTTTGATTTGTTTTTGAAAGTTGCTAATATAATCTTAAATGAAGAGGGGAATAGTTATCTGGCACTCAATATCAAAGAAGGGTTTAATGCCTGTAATATCTATGATTGCCTTTTACCCATTAATTAAAGTACCACTGATACGTAAAATATAAGAGGATTCAGCTTCATCACTCACATTTGTAGGCATAAAATGTATGGGTTGCTTGCCAGATATGTTTTGTTGAAGTATATCAGTTATTCTGTTATCATATTCTACTACAATATCATTGTGTGATGGGATGCCAGTTAAGGGGCCAGCTTTATTATAATAAACGAGAGGGCCAGAGCGATCAGTTTGATCAAAATTAGTTGGTGTATACATGCCGTTAGTTTGAAAATATTTATATTACTTTATAAAATTCAGAAAACTTTAATTATTTTTTTTCGATAGTTGCAAAAAGAAGTGATAGTGAACTTAATAAGCAAATTGTAAAAGAAAGGTAATCAGATATATATCTAAAAGTGAAGGCTTCTGTGTAATCAATTATATAAAAATTGGCAGAAACCTTTATCTAATAATAGTATGTGTTCAGGTATATATGACATTTAGGGTAGGCAAATATGCGTTAAGGTATGCATAAAGGCTACATCTTGATGGTATATATCTGGGCATAGTATAGCCCTCGTGTAAGACTTATCCTTCCTAGATATATACCTGGGTATGATATGAAGTCTTCTTCAGAAATTATTGTATAAAATATGGAAGAAGACTTCATCTTTCTAGATATATACTTGAGTATGGTATAGCCTTCGCGTAAGACTTATACCGGCAACAAATATCCCTCAAAAGTAATGAGAAAATTGCGAGAAAGTGCCAAGAACTAAAGGCGCAATAAAATTAATGAAAATTACTATTTTCATCATAAATTCAGCTAGAACTTTAAACATAATAATTCAGCATCCAAGCTGGTATAAAAATGACTAAGAGCTGATAGAACTAGTCTAGTTTCCTACCAGTTTCCTACCAGTTTCATGATAGTTCCAGGATACTACCAGGTCACTATCATGACACTAAGTTAGATCCTAAGTCATGTGTTCCAAAATCAGACAAAATTATGCCGGCCAAAATTCGCTTAATTTCGACCAGCACTATTTCACAATTTCGGCCAAAACTTTAGGTATAAGAACTCGGTATTCAAGCTGGATCTCTGAATCATATGCTCTAAAGATCAGCCAAAATTATGGTATAGTGTCAACCGAAATTAATCACAAATTTACTGTACCGCCTGATGCCTTTTTTTTTACATTATCTTGGCATTCTAAAGGCAACCGAATAGGTATGCACTTCATATCTTTAGGACATATAAAATAATAGATTATAACATCTTATTAGGATATATTAATCAATAAACTATATTATTCTAGGACATATTAACCAATAAACTATATTGTTCTAGAACATATTAATCAATAAACTATATTATCCTAGGACATATTAGTCTGAAATAAGTGGTTTATTCTAGGACATATTAATATATTAATATATTAATATGTCCTAGAATAAACCACTCTATTTATGATATATTAATAAAATACAGTAATAATTTATTTATATAATTTTATATAATAAAATATTATATTTCCATATATTATATTTCTTATGATCTTATATTATTATATTTTAATGATCTTATTTATATATAGTTTATATTAAATGCTATATTTAAAAGTTTTTTTATCAATTTATTAATTTTTAAAATTTTAATATAAATACTTTACAATCAAAATATTATTATTTTAAAAAAATAATAATACTTTTATATTTATTAATATATAATTTATTAAGTAAAATATATATATTTTTTTATTTATATAATATTATTATTTATAAAATTAATATATTAATATTTATTTAATTTAGATATATTACTATAAATAATAATAATTATTAATATTTTAAATTATATGTATTAATCTTTCTATAATTTATATTGATTTTTATTGTTTATAATTAAATTTTAATATAACAAATTATATAGAAAATTTGCCAGAAAAATTAGACTTTACGACTAAAAAATTTTTTTAAGGATTTTTTTTATTTTTTAAAATGTAATAGCTTTAGGTAAAATAGGGCCTTTGCAATAGAAAGGGGGGAAACTGCCGAAAAATCAAAAATGAGTTAATGGCAATTTCGGATATATTTCGGCCCAAGGAATATATTTGGATTATAAAAGCAAGTTATATTACATAATAAAATTTTGAGATACTTCAAGATAAATCTTTTCGTATATAAATCTATTATTAGTAGCAAAATTTTTAAAACTTTATCTCGTTTAAAAAGTCAACGACTCGTCAATTTAGTCTTACTCTTGCGTCATCCCAATTTAATTTTTTAATTTGGAATAAGACAAGCATATTTTTTTTTAACTTTATCATTTTTTTACACATTTTTTCATTTACCTCATTTTCTTTTTCCTTACGCATTTTTCCTATTCGACTAACTCATATAAGCTGTCTCATTTTTTTAAAATACTTTCCTTTTTGCTTCTAGAATATCAAAGGATTTTTTGGACTGAAAATTTAGAGGTAGGTGAGTTTATGATGAGAAAAAGGAATTTTTTATTGTTTTTTTTAAAAAAAAATTAATAAATTGCTTACTTTCCTTTACCGGAAATTTTCATCTACAAAAAGAGGTAAGTAAAAAAAAGAAAAATATTAATTTTTTCGTTTTAATTAAAAAAAAAAAAATAACTTACTTTCATTCGATTCATAGAATTCCAGAATTCCAGAAGGTTTCGGCATTTACAAAAAAAAGGTATTTAAAAATTAATTTTAATTTTTTTTTTTTAAAATTAAAAGAAAATGAATAACTTACCTTTGTTATATTCGTAGGATTCATCCTGGAGGGCTTCGGCATCTACAAAAAGAGGTAATTAAAATTTTACTTTAAAATTTTTTTTTGTTTTAATTAAAAGAAAAAAATTAATAACTTACCTTCGTTTTATTTGTAGGATTCCAGGATTCCAGAGGGCTTCGGCATCTACAAAAAGAGGTAAGTAGATTTTAATTTTTATTTTAATTTTTTTTTTAAATTAAAAGAAAAAAAAATAAACTTACCTTTCAATTCTTAGGATTCCAGGATTCCGATCTATAAAAAAGGTAAAAAAATTAATTTAATTTTTTTTTTTAAATTAAAAGAAAAAATGACTAACTTACTTCGTTCGAATTCGTAGGATTCATTTCCAGAGGGTTTTGGCAGCTACAAAAAGAGGTAAGTAGATTTTAATTTTTTTTTTTAAATTAAAAGGAAAAAAAAACAAACAACTTACCTTTATTTGAATTTGTAGGATTCGTTTCCAAAAGGCTTTGGCATCTACAAAAAGAGGTAAGTAGATTTTAATTTTTTTTTTAATTTTTTTTTTTAAATTAAAAGAAAAAAAAAATGAATTAACTTACTTTCGTTCGATTCATAGGATTCCAGGATTCCAGATCTACAAAAAAGTTAAGAAAATTTTAACTTGATTTTTTTTATTTAAATTAAATTAAAAGAAAAATGAATAACTTACCTTTGTTCGAATTCGTAGGATTCGTTTCCAGGGTTTTGGCATCTACAAAAAGAGGTAAGTAGATTTTAATTTTTTTTTTAATTTTTTTTTTAAAAAAAAAATGAATTAACTTACTTTCGTTCAATTCATAGGATTCCAGGATTCCGGATCTACAAAAAGGTAAGAAAATTTTAATTTAATTTTTTTTTTTTTTTAAATTAAAAGAAAAAACGAATAACTTACCTTCGTTTGAATTTGTAGGATTCGTTTCCAGAGGGCTTCGGCATCTACAAAAAGAGGTAGTAGATTTTAATTTTAATTTTAATTTTTTTTTAATTTTTTTTTTTAAATTAAAAGAAAAAAAATGAATTAACTTACTTTCATTTGATTTGTAGGATTAGTACATTAAATAGAAACAAATTAGTATGAAGTGATGACGAATTTGGATTTCGATTTATGAATTCGGATTTTTGATGAAACAAATATTGATAATCATCCTTTTTTTAAGCAATACATGCATATAATTGGGTTTCCATATGTTAAGCTATATAGATTATAAAAGAAATTTCTAGTTAGAATAAATCCAGTTTATCTGAAATAACATTTGACAGTTCTGACCCTAAAATGTAATTATTATAATTACGAGATGATTTTTTTTCCCGTCACAAGTGCATACAAAACTGCTTATTCCAGAAGGTTAAATAGCTAAAAATGCCTATTTGCCAAGCCTCTCTATTATCAAAAACCATACAATCATTACCTCAGCAGCGATAAATGCGCCTCAACATTGTTATCTGAAACAACGAACAATCAAGAATGAAGTTTTTAAGGCTTTGGAAAAATTGAATAATGATTGTCATTTTTTGATTGTTTTCAGATGTACTGAATAATCAAAAAAGACAATTGCACACATAAAATCATGTAAAAGTGCATAAAGATAAACGTGAAAATAAGAGCAGAATACGTAATTATAATGCGCGATAAATTCCTATAAAACTTGTACCCCGCAGTACGATATAGGTAAGGGTTAAGTTATAAATTAAGTTCAAAAGGTGGGATTGTCCAACATAAAATTTATTAAATTAGGTTCATTTTTTCTAAATTAATTTTTATGCAAGTATTACTTTGATA